AGGAGGCCACCATCTCGCCGAGTTGTAATAGAATGGCAATGGGGGTCTAGGGGCCTGGCTCCCGTAGGACTTGTTGCGCCCGAACCTCATCTACTCTTTCAGGGCCTATTCCCCTTTTTAGCAGAATTTGGTATATTATCTTGTCTAGACGTCCCATGTAACTGGAGAGTTTCTCCCCTTCATTTTGGTAGGTATGCTCTAGCTGATAGATGAGGTCTGAAGCCTTTTCAGTACGCCCAAATACATCTTGTAAAACGTCTAGATAGCCCTGAGCAGTGCAATCCTGTTTGTTAAGTTTTAGGTTGCGAATGGCCTCCAATGCAGGGCCCCTTAGGCTCTCCGTAATCCTCTGTTTCTTGTGGGCCTCAGGAATGTCCCATTCACTTAGTGCTTGCATGGCTTGGTCTAGCCACTCTTCAAAGCCATCCTCCCCGGTAGGTATTGGTTGCCTACCCGAGAAGAATCGGAGCTTCCGATACATCCCTGTGTATGGAGAGGGGTCTTTGCGGCATTTTAACATGAAGTCCCCCAATGCAGTGAGGAATTCCGGGCCTATGGTGGCTAGAGGTGTCTGGGACAGGGGTTCTTCCCTCTCAGGTTTTGCACAACTAGGCCCGGGGGTGTTCAACTGAAGTAACTGGAGCCTTGTCCCATCCTCTATTTGGATATTGGCTCCTTGGAAACTGTCAGGGATCCCCTTCTTCCACTCTAGCAGGGCATATGCCAGGGTGGTGTCTGAGGCGGGTATCACATCTATCACCCACGTTTTCTTTCCCTCTGTGGGTAGTGCATTCACTATCTTGGTAATCTGTTCTTCGGTCCCATTTCTCTGGGGAACTCGACCACTACACTCCGTTCTGGGCAAGCATTTTCCCTGCTGCACCACTTGGTCGCGGCTGCGACGTCCATCTTAGGAGTTGGTATAGGGCACTGCTTGAGTGGTTGTTGGGTAATTGAGCAGCAAGAATTCCGGACGAGCCCCCACGTGTAGCACTGCCCCCTGGGACAAGCTGGAATATATTATGGGTCCTGCGCTCAATAGATCCAACCCTAAGCAAACCCAATCCCTCTGGCACAACTGGTAATGAATAGCAAATACCCCGCCAAGAAATTTGCTGACACAGGGTTAAATGAAACAAGAACAATTTTATGGAGAATGAAATGCAGTGTAGAGGGGTGGGGTTCCCCTTTCTACTTCAAAACTTACCGTATTTGCTGGCGTATAAGACGACTTTTCAACCCGTGAAAATCTTTTGAAAAGTCGGGGGTCGTCTTATACGCCGGTATACGGCGAGCCGGTGTCAGGGCAGCACTTTTTCGAGGGGGGCGGCGCCGCCCCCCCTCCTCCTCCAACGGACACTAAGTACAGGGGTGGGCAGAGGGGCTGCTGTACCTTACCTGGCTCCGGTCCCACGACGATCCGGTCCAGGAAGCGCGGCTGCTCCTTCTTTCAGTTCGGCCGCTCGATGGTCCCGCCGCCCCGCTCGGCTCCGCCTCCTCACCGGTGATTGGGCGCCAGCACTGGAAAGGCACACAGGCGACCAATCACCGGCGAGGAGGCGGAGCCGAACCGCCCCGCGAAAATCAAGCAGCCGAACTGAAAGAAGGAGCAGCCGCTCCTCTCCCCCACTGACACTAACGATGGGGCACTATTCCTCCTCCACACTGACACCAACGATGAGGTACTGTTCCTCCCCCACTGACACCAACGATGGGGCACTATTCCTCCTCCCACTGACACCAATGATGGGGCACTATCCTCCTCCCCACTGATACCAATGATGGGGCACTTTTCTCCCCACTGATACCAATGATGGAGCACTATTCCTCCCCACTGACACCAATGATGGGGCACTATTCCTCCTCCCCACTGACACCAACGATGGGGCACTATTCCTCCCCACTGACACCAATGATGGGGCACTATTCCTCCTCCCCACTGACACCAATGATGGGGCACTATTCCTCCTCCCCACTGACACCAATGATGGGGCACTATTTCTCCCCCACTGACACCAATGATGGGGCACTATTCCTCCCCCACTGACACCAATGATGGGGCACTTTTCTCCCCACTGATACCAATGATGGGGCACTATTCCTCCCCCACTGACACCAATGATGGGGCACTATTCCTCCCCCACTGACACCAACGATGGGGCAATATTCCTCCTCCCCACTGACACCAACGATGGGGCACTATTCCTCCTCCCCACTGACACCAATGATGGGGCACTATTCCTCCTCCCCACTGACACCAATGATGGGGCGTGTTGGAAGAGGGGTAGTCTTATACAGCGAGTATAGCTCAAACTCTATATTTTAACAGGAAAAGTAGGGGGTCGTCTTATACGCCCAGTCGTCTTATACTCCGGCAAATACGGTACTTTTCTTCTTTTATGCAATGCAGTAAATTTGGTCTGCCACTAGAGGGCTTCACAGCCAAGAGTCTCCGGATGGCAGAGTCGCACTTTAAGCAGAATACAACTGATATCAAACAAATAAACTTACTTATACTCTATCAATGAAATGTATTACCCAAACTGGTGTATGATTCTGCTTCTGAGGGGCGTTAGCCAAAAATCACCTCAGAGTCAGAACAGAATGCAATAAAGAGGTACCTCTAATAAAGCTACTAAGCCAGATTCCCCCACTTCAGTCCTTGTAACGGTGGAGCTCTAGTTGGTGCACGTTTAGTCCTTACAATGAAGTAAATAGCAGCTGAAGGCTTCTTTGGAGTTTCAGCTGGTGTGGGTTACATCAGATTTCACTAGGTTTCTGGGCTGAGAGGATCCAACCTCAGTGTCTAGAAGCAACACAAAGCACCCCAAGACCAGGGGCAGTCGCAGGATGCAATCTCCCAGTATGTGTCAGTCCCCGGGGCAGTCAGTCTCAATTACACTGGTAGTGAGGGGCAAAGCAGGCAGAGGGATATGTGGCTTGCACAGGGCCCCGGATGGGTGAGATCCCAGCAGTGGGGTGCGGATGTCCCAGTCTATATGCAAAGTGTAAATGGTGTGTCTTACTTTCTCCAGGGGGACAGCTCACCAGACTCTGAACACACAGCAGGGTCCCTCTATCCACGCTGGGTGCTGTAGTGCCTCCTCCTCTGCTTGGACGGGCTCCACGTGTCCCTGTCTTTTCTCCAGCCTCGTGTCTCTCCCCTCTCCCCTTCACTTCCTGATTCCTCCCCTTCCCAGCGTTCTTTGCTGTGTAGTGGATGAGTCATGAACTTGGCAGAATGCCCAGGTTTTACAAACAGGAGAGAGAGAGAGAAGGACTGACTGCTGAACATGTGATTCCTTCTGAATCCTCTTGTACAAGGAGCCTGCTACACTACATAGACAGTAATATACCGAAACGTGCGGATTGTTCCCGATTGGTGTGCTATTACTTTGTGGAATGTTGCGCCGAATGGTTCACGAAATATCTGCGTTTTTGTGGTGAAATTGGTCCCATAGGAATGAATGGAGGAATGTTCAAAACTAGAGTGGGAGCTGACAAAAGCTAGAGTGTGAGCTGAAAAATCAGGACATGATTTCTAAACTGCCATCACTCCCTCATTTTCAAGCCCACCTACACAAATCTTATATCAAAACGTTCAGCTATCCCTGCTACCACTAAAAATGTTCACGGCTAAGCCATAGTCCTGATAGTGTTCACAATATGACCATTTGTTTTCAACTCATGCCGCCCATTGACATTCATTGAAACTCCACTCTAGCCACCTCAAATTTGAAGAGTAATTTCTAAACTGCGACTGTGCCTTCATTTTTAATATTTCAGAGACATACTTTGCATCAAAATGTAGGACTGGGTCTTGTGATTCTCACAATATAATTCGGTGTAGGATTTATAATTTTTTAAACTACAACCATGTGAAGATGGCTAGTGGAGGCAAAGAACACCACACAATTTCCCCAGAAATTGTAGCTTTTCTAGTTTTATCTACAGTATTTGAAAACCTGCCAGAAGTCTTGTGAGCTGATAACTTTCTGTACTTTCTTCCTCTGCTTACTGTTATCCAGTACATTGTTTTTAGTTTGCTCTGAGTACCATAGAACCAGTCCCCCTCTATATTATGAACAATAGAAGAAGGTTGGAATTTTGTGGTCCTGTCCTGTTTCTGTTGTCTTGACATAGAAGGTTGCATAAGAATTGTAATCTTAGGACTGGACATGTGTTCAGTTGCAGAATCACTGTGTAAAAGAAAAGGAATAAAAACATTTTTAAAAAAGGAACTGTAATGCAGCCACTACATGTAAGTACTGGTTAGTTGCAATGTTACATTTTTTGTTTTTTGCTTTAAGTAGTAGTCTGTGAAAGCGTATACTTCGCAAAAGGAAAAAACAAAACAAAACAAAAAAAATACAGATTTATACTCCATAGCTGACAATTCACCTAGGAAATGTTTGGGACACCCTGTTTTGAAGGTCCTCTTATTGGTCTCCTTGCAAATCTTCTTATTCTCATTTAGAATGACACCTAATGCACAAGTACAGTAGGTGGCAATGAACCTGCACTGCAGCACACCGTGGCATCTGTATTAAAAAAAGGTTCATATCCATTTTTTGATTGAATGCTCTGTTCTTCCAGCCCATTCTAAATGAATGGGCAGCCTTAATGCAATACACTTTAATGTTCAAAATAGCACACGTTAACATGTATGCAGTAGTGTAATGTTTTGATCTGCACTTCTGGCCATGTGATGTGTAGGATAGGAGGACTTAGTAGGGGGCTTAATTGGGTGCAAATTATTATTGTAATTGTTTATATATAATTAAACTACACCCCTTATGCAAATTTTCCACACTTTATTTGCACTATGCACACCATTACTGTATCAGCCTGGTAAACTTCTCCCTTGGTTGACATCCCTGACATGCTCATAGTAAATCCATCATCTATGAAAACCAAAAATGTCGTTTATTCATAATAGTGGGGCTTTGTAAGTCTTCACATATATAACTAACGTACGGTGTATGTCTCTCTCTTCACAGGTTCTCTGCTTTGTGATATTTATCTGTTTTGCTGCATCCATATCCTCCTATTTGGCGGCACCACTAATTGAACTCATCATCACCCTCATTTTCCTTATCCTCTACTCAAGTCATTACAATGAGCGCCTCACCGCCCTCAACTGGCCCTGCACGGTGAGTTACAAGAAAAAATGTCATAGATGTTATCTGAATACTTCTTCTCATGTGTTGTACAGTAAGAGGTTAATTAACTAGAGAAGAATAGAATATCCACTTTGCTAAATTAATGTTAACAGCTTAGTGGAAGAGGTAAACTGTGTTCATGTTACCAGGGGCGGACTGACAACCCATGGGGCCCCCGGGCAATAGAGGATCATGGGGCCCCTGTGTCCTTTCCCAAACTCAAAAAAAGCCTATGAAAAAGGTACCAGGGGCATCTCATGGGGCTCCCTACTGACCCTGGGCCCTCGGGCAGTGCCCGAATTTCCAAATGGTCAGTCCGCCCCTGCATGTTACCTAATTGTGTCCAAGCAAACATTCAGTATTTTATCTTGCATATGTAGAACTTACCCTCACAGGGAGTCACTGGATATGATGGATCCTCTGTTCTGCCACTCTATAAGCTGATTGGTCCCTATTGACACACCTGTGTAACTTAAACTAATGTATTATGGCGAGGCAGTTGAACGATTGCATGAATTAACACCAAGCAGTTGAACAGGTTTAACCTCCTTAGCGGTAATCCCGAGTGTAGCTCGGGGTAAAATTTCTATACCAAGAGCGGTAACCCCGAGCTACACTCGGGCTTACCATGCAGCGTTCTCTGGGGGTCCCTGCAGCACTTACCTTGTCCTCCGCTCCCGCGATGTGTCCCCTGCAGCGTCCCCGGCCATCTCCTCCGGCCGATGCCGGCATCCGGCTTCCGTGTTCCGTCACTGTGACGTCGGGACGTACGGGCGCGGGAAATTTTTGCTGTCATTGCTGTTTCAATGCATTTCACATATATTTTGTCCCTACTGCTTTGTCCTGTGCCCTGCCTGCATTTTGAATGTTCTTTCTGCCTGGAAACTTAGAAAAGTCCATGGCGTCCAAAAAGCGTCCCTTTACGTCGTCAAAAGCGGTTTTAGAACAGCGATAGTAAATCAGAACCACTTGCAGAATTGAGTGATAATGATTCGTGGGGAAATTCGTCATCAGACACTGAAAAATGATTTTGCGACTTTGCTCAGCGATGTGCGAATTTGCCTATTTCAAATTTCAGTGTTTTTGGTTTGATTATATTATGGAATTAAATTTATTATTTATTATATTATTATTTTTTATTATTTTTTATGATTATTTGTTAAATTATAATTTATGATTTCGTGTTTCAAATTTTATCCTACCCGGGATGTTTAATAGACTGTTCGTACAGATTTCAGTGAGTTATTCCTAAAAATTACAGCCTACAATAAAAAACTACATATTTCCATGCAAAAAAATGGTACCGCTTTCAGCACAAAAAATCGGAAAGAATCATACGCGGAGGAGGTTAAAGATGCTACACTAGATAATGTGAACATGACCCATAAGATGGCAGTCAACTGAACTGTAACAATGGCAAACCCAATGCACAGAAAGTAGGCCACAAGCAACTGCTTAATAAATTAAATGGATGTATTATAGCGAGGCAGTTGAACGATGCATGAAAGCTGAAAATTGGCCAGGACTGGAAGGGGGTGAAAGTGTCCAGACTTGAAGTGGTTAGAAAGTCAAATATAATACAATTATATATAAAAAGTATATTTACAAAAAAAAAAACGTTCATTTCGATTCAATTATACTATAGAATTTGATCGCAGGAAAAAAACAGTTTATAGCAATGGCACTACATATGTTGCAGGTCATACAATTCTTCAGGCAAAAAAGATGTTGTTCAGCAGGGCTCTTTTCCAATACTGATTTTTAAGCTTACACACCACAGAATGCCTGAGCAGAACTTCTGTGGGAGACAGTTGCAGGAGCCTGGCAGAAGGGACACCCCATCCTCCTTAAGTATTTTATGCTATCACTGCTCCTACTCTCTCCCTAACCAACAGCTGTTTGTCCCTAACCTACTCCCACTGTGGTGGCCCACCAAATGACGTAGAATCTGCTATTTAAGCACATCTGTGTCAAGATGGCCAATCAAATCTCGCAGTATTTTGGCATCCAGTAAGAAATGCTGTACTCCCAAAATGGCTATCTGGAGCCCATAGTTTTTTATTCATACAATTTAGTACTCAGTGCCCTCCTGCCATCCCGAATAAATGACACAGTGCCATTTTAGGTCAGCGGATGCACAGTAGCTCAACACCTGCTTATGAGCTGCAGGGAAGGAATGGAGGAGAGGAAGGAAGGAAGGAGAGGAATGAAGGGGATGCAAGAAGAAGAAAGGAGGGGGAGGGAGGAAGGGAAGGAATGAAGGAAGGAAGGAAGGAGGGAAGGAAGGAAGGAGGAGGGAAGGGGAGGAAGGAAGGAAGAAGGGAAGTGAAGGAAGGAGAAGAGAGGAGGAGAGGAAGGAAGGAAGGAAGGGGGGAAGGGGAGGGGAATGGAAAGGAAGGAAGGAAGGGAAGGAAGGAAGGAAGGAAGGAAGGAAGGAAGGAAGGAAGGGAAGAAAGTAAGGAAGGTCGGACTCACATGCATGGCCCCCTGTTCATTGGCTCAGTCAGAAACATTGCAGAGGTGTTGGCTGCTCTGTATACAATCTCCCACCCACACATCCCCTTAGAAGCTGCACAGACTGGAGTGTGGGTGGGCAAAGGATGAGCCACAGCAGATCCAGCCTCTCTCCCTCCTATTGGTGCGGAGGATGGGGGAGGGACTGGGCATTAAGGAGCACACAGGCAGCCCAGAAAGAGAAATCAAATGGATGGCTGAGGGTGATTAATACAGCAGTGGGGACAGTTACGAGCAGCAATCTCCCTGTATGGCTTTCAATGAAGTCGCTGGAAGCCGCATCTCCTCTTCTCCCCCCTGTGGCTTCCAGCTGCTTCATTGACAGACATACAGGGAGATCACTGATTATAACTGTCCTCACTGCTGCACTGATCACACCCCCGACTGTTAATTTCACCTGCTGCAGTCTGGACACACTCACCCCTCACCTTATTTCAACTCGCCAATGCGAGCAGGCTTGTGGAAATTTTGAGCCCTGAGTTAGCAAAATTTAGCATCAACTTTTAAGCGGAGAGGCTTAAAAATCTTTTTAGTTTTTTTATCCGAGCAGCGCTGATCAAGGAGGGAAAATCCAACAGGGTGGTTATGCAGAAGTTGATTTGTAGATCAAACTGTACAACCACAGGGGCCATACATGGATCAAAATTCAGCTGGTCCCTGCTGAACCATCTGAATTTCAATACATGTATGGCAAGCTTTAGTGCTTGGCTAAGAATTAATCTCAAATAATAACAAAAGTATACTAGCACTAGGTAGTGCAGGGAAAAAGCAGCTAGCATAAAGGCAAACCCTCTTAACCTTCATATAAACCAATCATAAGTATGCAGCGCTATATGTTAAATACCACAAATAGTAACTATTGATATGATAGCGCTGTGTAGCGCTGAGGTAAAGTCAAGTGCGATGAGCGTCTACGGACGTTATAAAGTACAGATGGTGAACTTCAATATTAGAATATTACACATGAACATGTGAGTCCCCAAAATATATAGGTGCAAATCGTGACTGTGGTGCTGTGTAAAATAGGTGTAGATTGCACTAACCATATAGCGCAAACATGTGCGCATTTGAATAATTAAACCACTCCTGGTCCTCTGGGTACAGAAGGATGAACATCCACAGCTCAACTGGCCAACCAGCAGAAGGTCAAGTAGTTGTAGGATCATCAGCCTCCAGGGATCAGGAATCACTCAGCCATCCACCAGGGGGATCTCACTTCATGTGCCAGGTATCAAACATAGCCACCAGGGGGACCTCTCTCAATGGCGGGTATAAAGCAGCAGCAGAATCCACCTTAAAGAGGGTGGCTCGCCAACAAACGAGCCCAAACAGAAAATTCCTTGATAGTGTAGTATTTATTATAAAATAGCCATATTATGCAGATCCAGAAAAGCACTCGCAGTATGGGAAAGAACATCAAAGATGGCCACCGGCCTAAACACGAGGCCTGAGCGGCGTGACATCACACCCTGGCTCCTCCTTTAGGGTATTTAACATATAGTGCTGCATACTTATGATAGGAATTAATCTCAGTTTGAGCAGAAGTTGAGTAAAAAATAAAAACGTAACTTGAAATAAAGACAGGGACTAAGAGAACCAATATTCCTCCGAATCATTATGTAGCTTAAATTTCACAACTGTTCTGGATATATTAACCACACAGTTGCCCATTTATAGGAAACCTTAATTTTAGGGTAGTCATGCTGGCTGGAATACTAACCACTTAGAACAGCAGTGACATCATCTGAATCACGTCTCTGGTTCTGTAGAGGAAGTCCTCTATGAATATATAGAATAAGTAACTCAGAGAAGAGGGCTAGGGAGTTTGGCTAACAGCATATGTTGTTATGTTGCTCTTGGGGGGGACCAAACGCTAAACTGAAAAGATAAAAAGTATGGGTTAGCATTTCACATAAGATATCGTAATAAGGAAAATGTGATCTCAGAGATTTTGACTGTGGCAAGATTGCTGGTACCAGTTAGGATGCTTCAAGTATTTCTGTAACTATTAACCTCCTGTGATTTTCACACAACAGTCTCAGGATGGTGTGAAAAACAAAAAAACATCCAGTGAGCAGCAGTTCTGTTGATGGAATCACTGTGTACTTTAGAAAATTTAGAGGAGAATGACCAAACTGGTTGAAGACTACAGTAATTCAGATACCCATTATTTACAAGTGCTGTGAGCAGATACCAATCTCACAATGTGCATGTCAAACCGTGCTGGGGATAGGCTTCAACAGCAGAAGACCACCTCAGGGTCCACTCCTTTAATGTCAGTATGAACCCAGAAGGAATGTTTGTGGATTGTAGAATCCATGCCACAAAGAATTTAGGCTGTTCTGATAGTGAAGGGAGGCCCTACCAATTATTATTTATTACAGGTACTTATATAGCTCTGTCAATTTATGTAGTGCTTTACATATTTATTGTACAGTCACATTAGTCCCTGGCCTCAAGGAGCTTAAAATCTAAGATCCCTAACTCATATTAATATTAATACACATACCAGGGCCAGTTTAGACAGGAGCCAATCAATCTACCAGCATGTCTTTGTAGTATAGGAGGAAACTGGAGTACCTGGAGGAAACCCACACAGGCACAGGGAGTGTCATGATTGGGATTCAAACCAACGATGTTAGTGCTGCTAGGCAGAGGTGCTAACCACTTATCCGCTGCTTACCATTATTAAATTATGATTGGCATTAGTTTTATTATTAGCATTAATAATGTAACACCCTGTTAGTCAGCTACGGGGAGCTCTAGTTCTAATTATTAGTCGGAGGCTGAGTAGCAGCCCAGATGTGATAGTCAG